TGGGGTTTTCAGGCGATGCCCATATTCACCCAATGACAGATATAAGACCAAGTAATCCGTCACGTGATTAATAAAACCCCCCTAATAATAAATACTAAATCCAGGGCCCTAAAAAATCCTCATGAGCAATTTAAAAGGGGCAAGACTACTTTTAAAAGGAGCCAGACCATAATGAATTAGGGGAGCTTTTTGAGGTCATTAGGGTGGTATATTAGAAAAACCAAAGGAATTAGGGATCCCCTTGACATCCTAGGTTTTGGTTGATGTTCATATGGTTCTATGAAGAATGTATATACAAGAACTGACTGTGATTTTAACTGATTCTATTGCAATTTTAGCCGTACTTAATTAAATTTCAGCTGGGATTCATTCAATTTCAATTTTACCGAGATTTTAATTTGGTTTCAATTGATGCTAAAAAGTGATTTTAGTGAAATTTCAACTGACTATAACGGAATTTTAATTCAACTTCAATTGATTTTACATTGATTTTACTTTGATTTCAAATGCTTTTAAAAGAATTTTCATTAAATTTCAATTGACTCTAACGGGATTTTATCTAAATTTCAATTGATTCTAACGGGATTCTAATTCGATTTCAATTTATTTTACATGCATTTAAAATAAATTTCAACTGATTTTAAAAAGAATGTTAATCAAAATTCGGTTGATTTAAACGGGATTTTCTGTTTAAATTTCAATTGATTCTAACGGGATTTTAATTCGATTTCAATTGATGTTAATGAGATTTTGACACGATTTCAATTGATCTTTGAAGTAATTTTGATTAAATTTCGAGTTGATTTTGAATAGAATTTTAATCATATTTCAATTGACTCTAACGGGATTTTAATTTGATTTCAATTGATTTTAAAAGTCAGTTGAATTCGCGTTCATTTGATTTTAAAGAATCTTAATTAAATTTCATTGATTCTAACGGGATTTTAATTCGTTTTCAGTTGATTTCACGAGATTTTGATTCGATTTCAATTGATCTGAAAAGTAATTTTGATTAAATTTCAAGTGATTTTAGCGGGATTTTAATTCGATTTCATTTGATTTTGAAAGGAATTTTAATTAAATTTCAATTGATTTTAAAACTGATTGCAATTTGATTTCATTTGATTTTAAAAGGAAATCAAATTTCAATTGATTTTGACGGCATTTTAATTTGATTTCAATTGATTTCAAAAGGAGTCTTAATTAAATTTCAATTGATTCTAACGGGAATTTAATTACATTGCAATTGGTTTTAAAAGGAATTCGAAATAAATTTTGATTTTGTTCAGGAATTTAAAGGCAGCCCTACCAAATCCTTTCAATAAATATCCCCCGTGCTAATACAGAATTTCTGAGCCCTAGGATTATGTATTACTTGGGGGGGTGGGGACGTCGTTTATTATCAGGGGGAAGGGATTAATCATTAATCAGAGACATGGATCCATTTTCCGAGTTTGCGCCAAGATGCACCAAGCTTAGTTGTTCCACGGACGATCAATTCCTGAGTTAGATACTTTGCAAAACGGTGACTAGGATCCGCCGTCAACGCCCACTCTGGGCATGGAAACTGGGGCCTATAAGCTTAGGAAGTCGTGTCGGAGGCAGGCCGGACGGGATTCTCGGCTTAATCGTTGGAAGGGACAGAGGCCTGTGTGTTCTTCTTGGTGGGGATCCCAGGCAGCTAAAAATGCATACTGGGGTCTTGATCTAGGTGCTCCATCAACAAAAAACTTCACGAAGTCTTGCATGCGCCCGTATCCGGCAACCCCTTCTGGGACGGTACCCGGGATACATCCATCATCCGCACTAGTTGATCATACTGAATGACATATCAAGTTCGATATCGGGCTTCAAGGCATGCTCTGGGTTACTTGTGCTTGCTTGAGATTGACTGAGAGTCCAGGAAAGGTTTGGCCCGCCGCCCCCTTGCACAGTGTGCGGTCACCATTTACTCGGAGTAATCATAAATCCCAATTTCTTGAACCCGACCCCGCGGGCCACAGGCGATCCCAGCTTCCATATGAAATGAGGTCTGACTCACAAAGCAAGAACATAGATGATTGTTGCTAGTCACAACAACACAACTCTATGAGTCAGACTTGTCACCAGTTGTCTATGTTGGCTTCCTACCCTGAAACCAATGTTTTTTGGGCGCAATCTTATGTACCTGTTGCTTGCGGGAACGCCCGCGTATATAGTTATTAGGCGTGGGTGTGGATGCGTCGTTGGCGTTCACACGAGCTCATGCCTATGCTGCCCGATCCCAAAACGACCTTTCATGTTCACACTTTTTGCGGTAGCCAATGCCACTTCACAAGTCAAGGCTACCACAGTCATGAAAGGCACCATTACAAACGATACAAACTCATTAGGGAGTGGCATCTTGGAGTTCAAAGGGATATATTCTGGGCTATTGGGTTACACTAGGGAGTAGACTTGATTAAACCAATCAAATTTTCCAGCCCTTTTTCAGAACCAGATGTGAAGGATTTATTGTAGAAGCTATGTTGAAGTGCCACAGTAGAATCCTTCAGCTCCAAACCTCATCAACATTCCACCAAGCAACTACTAGCAATACAGGTAAAGCGTGTTCAGATACGCTCATTTTTCGCATGTCTTTCTTTGTTGGTATTCTTGGTGGGTCTGCACTCTTCTAGAGTCGTACAAGGTATCGGTGCTTTTCCACCTGCCGTCCTCCGACCCTTCTTATACAAGAAATTCATGCAGAACCAAGGCATAGAAATTGCCAACTTGTTTCAACTGCTGCCAAGACAGGAAGACATGTCGCCATCCACGTAGACGGGAAAGCAAAAGCGCAAACAAAAATTGCAGAACAAGCTACACGTCAAAGCCTCATACTGGTCTGCACCCACTTTGAATCTTAGCTCCGCCCCCACAGCCGCATTCAATGGAATGAGCACCTAGCAAACGCTCTGCACATCCTTGCACAGCATGTGATCTTGCTGGGCTGCGCTTGACTTGGGCATCTTGGGCCACCGGCAGATGAAGCCAGCCTCACAGATTCTTGACTTGGACCGAGCATACCCCAGTGCAGGCTCGCAGGCTAGGACCTTGTCGCGTTGCTTGATGGCAGCGGCACATGATCGGCAAGGAAGGTGTCCTTTAAGAGTGGAGAAGATGACGTTACTTGACAAGATCCCTGCATCAACACTCCTCGGAAGCTTTGTTGCTGATGCAGCTGGAATGACCACGTCTGCCAGCGTTCAGCTTCGAAGTTCGGTTGCAGAAGCTGGCGCGACTGGGGCAGCAACTGCAGATTTGTGAAGGTTAACCGGTCCGCCTCATAAGCTCACGTTGGGTTCGGTGAATTGTGGCCAGTTCTGCGCTGTGTCACATCAAGGGTCGGTCCATGCCGCAGAAGCGCTTTCCCAGGAACTCCTGGTATGACTGAGTCTGGCAACCGACCAGCATTTCACACATTAATTGTCCTCTGGAATCCATGGCCTCTCCAGGATTTGAGAAAAACTGAATGCTAGCCCGTTGCTGCCCAGTGTCCATTCGCCTGAGTCGTAGCATCAACTGCTGAGCCAGGAAGCTGCTGGCCACGACGACCGAACCTGTGGAAGATCAAGTAAGGCAATGAAGGTTGACAATATTTGACAATGCAGGCATGTCAGCTCGAATCATCTCAGCCACCTGCGCTCAGATGGACATGCAGGGTTCGTGCTCGATCCAGCCGCCTACCGGCGTAAAGCACGGCAAGCACGAGCTTTGACGGAAGTGCAAACCGGGCCCATCCGGCCTCTGCTGCAAGGATGAGCTGTCCGCACTCACCAGAACTGCAAGCAGACCTGGAAAGCAGCGTGGACGACTATGCGTGACTGAAATGTGCAGAAAAGCTGCCAGGCAGAGTTCAAGTAAGCTTTGAACCTCAGCACTTGGGCTCCGCATGCCTTCACACCAAAGATGCTTCCATAAAAACATGCCTTTGAAATGTCAGCAATGCCTGCAAATGGTGGATGGTCACGGGCTCAAAAGGGCGCCTGCATGGCTTCGCATTTTCGCAACTACCAAGACTGGGGAATGTCACTGTCACTCTCCTGTCTCCCGGGCCTTGAAAGCAAAACGTCATCTGGGCGACCAGGAGACCTTATGATGAGGACCCTAGAAAGCATCATATGATAGAAGGTGTCCTTGTTTTGGGATTTGGGTAACCACAGCGTTCCCCCCACACTGAAACCTCGACATGTACTCCAATGTATAAGAAAAAATTACGAGGAATGTGTCATGTTAGAGGAGAGCGGATGGATCGGCTTACAGTATGAGGAGTCTAATTTATCATGTTGGGGTAGAGGGCACTGGGGTCCATGTTTGGGGAAGTCTTCTTGCCTGATAACAATCTGCTCGGAAACAGGACACACAGCATGCGGACAACTTACATCAGGCTGTTGGCACCTACCTTGAGGAAGAAAGCCTCTCATCTTGAAGCACGGAGCACGGCATGCGTGGCTTTTTGCAAGCAGTTGCCATCGGCAACTAGGAAGATCTACGCCGCTGCCTGCACTTCTAGGTCACTCGGCGAAACCACGGCAACATCCACCCCACCAATCAGAACAGTGAAATCGTGCCCGTCCACGGACAGAATTCTGCCACTTTGTCCAGCACTCTCTCCCGCTGTGAGACGCACACGATCTCCAACTTTGGGAGCTTGCGTCATGTTCTCTGCTTCCGACTTGCCTTTAGCAGTTCCAGCTAGCCTTTGCTGCGCAATCTGCGTTCGAAGCCAGCCGGGAACACGCAAGTCCGGCAATGCGCGGCCATTTTTGCGACGCAATTGCAAGCTACGTCCCCTCTCTTTGGCTGGTAACCACTGCGTTTCGAGCTCAGACTCGTCAAGTGCTGCATCAATGTCTGTTTCATCCGAAATCTCCAACTTCTTGATGCGATTGCAACCCAGCACCAGCGCAGCATCAATCCAACCCTGGGGATTTTCAGAGATCTTCTCATGAAAGAAGCTGTCCACAGCCAAGTTTCCGTCGCTGAAGTAGTATTCTATCTGACGGCGCACTGCAAGTAGCTTCTCCTCTCGCGACATGTTCTTGACTCGCTGTCGCTTCTGTTTGCTTCCATCTGCATCGGACATTGCAGAGTCTATGGCAGTGGCCTGATCGAGACAGTCACTCCTGAGACAGCTGTCCGAGTCACCAATGTCATCAGCTTCACAGCCTATACTTGTCGCATCACATCTGTTTACCTCCTCTTCGGGATGCTCCACGTCCTCGAAAACACTGGCAACTACATCATCATAAACCGTAGACACACTCATCTTGAACCGATGCTTGTGACTGCTGCTTGTACAATGAAAAGCTATGTCCAGCGACGTCATAAGCCCGAAATACCCGCTCCATCCCAGGACAAACACTCATCTGAATTTAGCTGAGGCAGCGGCCCCAGGTCACACAGCAGCATGCACTCTCGAAGCAAGTATCCACGCAATAATTGCCAACAGTCTTAAACACTCTGATCGGGCTATGTCAAGAGTGCATCACTCGTCCCCCCTGCAAAGCGCAAAGCCAAGTCGGCTTGAACATCGCGAACATCGCGTGAACGGGCAACTCTTAAAGGTCAGTCTACTGCTGCAACTGCACCGAAATAACACGGCCGCATCTGGAAGACCGCTTCAAAACAGCAGCGTGAATCTGGCAAGGGCACGGCGCTACACTCGTTTTGACGTGGCTTGTCAACTTTGGACGGCTTCTCCTTCGTGGTGCGAGCTAGACTAGACCACAAGCCCTTCCTTCTCATCCGGTGTAGATACCAAGAGTCGGGTAGTTGTGGTACCTTTTGCAAGTTACCATGGGCCAGGTCAGCTGCAGGAGGATGCTGGAGGGCACAAATGCGGTCGCATTTCGGTTTTGGCCTCCTCGCTCTCCAGCTCCATCTCCGCCTCTCGGAAATGTGATGTGCTTGACTGACCGTCCCCGGCACTTCACTGGTTAACAAAACCCGGGCTGCAGATTGTTCGCAAGCGTGCTTCCATTTCAAGCAGGATCGGAAATTGACAGCAACAGCTAGCTGGAGAAGGCATGTTTTTGTCTGAGCTTTACGCCTTTACCAACAGCCCGCCTGTGGAATTTTTGAGAGGTTTCTTGTGCTTTGACGAACAAGCAAGGTCCATGCATCAATCACTGCGTGTTGCAATGAAGTGCAGGAACAGGAGTTATGAGAAAATGTAGCGGTCAGGCCGCAGGCCTGCTGGTTGTGAGAGCGAAGGGGAGATGGCCTCACAAGTTTGATCGCGCTTGAATCCACTGTGCTTTGTCCAGCTAGACTTGGGTAACGGAAGCTTGCAAGCCCTGACACCAGCCTTTGCGCTGCAACAGCATCCTTTGCCCTCTTGTTTCGGAAAACATCCGAGACCTCGACATTGAAATCACTAGAGGTCTGCATAGGAGGACGTGAGATCAGACCTTGCTGTGCGAGACCTCCGTATCCAGTGGTGGCTGGCTACCTTCACAGGCATGGACCCGCATTCTTCGATTCAGCACCGAGGGCAAGATAGCCTCGCAATTACACGTAGGCATACTTGAAACAGGTCCAAATGAACAAACTTGAACATGGCACCAAAGCTGCTAAAGCGTCATTCGATCCAGGCTGACTGAACTGCACGTCTGCCGCATCAATCTGCACACGACATTGCTACCAGATCACGCCTCCATCAAGGGAAACAATGCCCGAAGTGTTGCGTGCCTGGGCTGGACGGGCAGACTGAGGCTTGATGCAATTGTTGCATCAACCTGCGTAGGCAAGGTTCGGACTTGCACAGGGCTGTGTGTAGAGGAACTGCCCGGAGATCTGTGGGGCGAACAACACAACAGCTCTGCATAGCTTGTCCCATCAGAATGGACCTATTCCAGGCCGGTGCGAATGTTGGCACCTGCCAGACATTGTGGCAAATGTCAGGAAAGGACCAAGCAGCAACGTTGGCACCTGCTCTCGAATGGCAATGTGAAGACAAGAACGCATAGCAAAAATCATTTGATCGCGCAACACGGAGCCGGGATGCCAAAAAGCTTACTCCAAGCCATGATGGGCCATGACTGATCGGGAGGAGCAAACTGACGAAGAAAGCTGCAGAAACACATATAGGCACAGAAGTGGCTGCCAAACAATTGCCAGGGGGTAAGTAACTGCCATGACATCTTGACAACCTTCACTGAATCAACACAAGCATTTGAAGGTGGATGAGGGTACAGGTCTTCACAATCGACCCGCAGCAGCAGTTGCCTCCTCAGTCCTGGCCTTCGACGATCCTGCAACAGAGATGAGAAGACTACGGAAAGCCAAGCATGGCTTCTGACTTTGCGCAGCGCACGCGACCCTTAACTGTCGTTCAACACCTGTTTCTCCGCACCAGCAACAACTTCAAGCTGATAACTCTCCGCCGGTGTTTAACGTACACATTGGGGAAAAAAACACGAGCAGGAGCGCTGTCCGTAGGTAGCGTTCGTAGCAGTTCAGCAAACGCACTTCCCAAGGACATCTTCACCAACACGGTGTTCTTCGTCACGTTCATCAGCTCCGTGCCAACCGGATTCAATGCCGTAGGAGTCCAGTAGTCGCATCTCCCGATCAAGGGGATGGATGGCAAGGCTGACAGCAAGTTTATGGAGCAGACAGAACTATTCCACCAAGTCTGGCGTTGCAGAAGTACCTCAGCTGGAAGCGCTGCAAGCTGGAGCGGCGTCGCAGTGCAGCCAGAAACTGCCTCCGTTTTTTGACGTACCCTTGAAAACTACGCTGCTGGTTAGTTACTGGAATGAAGCGGCGTATACTCCAACAAGTGCTTTCCCGGCGGTCGACTTCGAAGAAGCCTTGCAACCCGCAAGCATTGACCAACACGGTGCCGAGCGAATTTCTCGGTTGTTGAAAGCCCGCCTAGCCACATAGCTCATGCGAGTGTGGTGATGTTCAGGCCAATCCTGGAATCTGATGGGTTGCTTTCTCAGTCAATGTCAGAATGCTTTGATTGACACAGCTTGCTTCAGTAAGTTTGATCAAGCTGCATTCCAGGCTATGTGGTGCACCTGCCAGCCCTGCTTCGTGAGCAACCGATGCTTCAAGGAGCTCTTCATATCATAACGTTGTGTACCGCCCACAAAATGCAATGGACCTTGGTGGAAAAAGAAGCGGCTGACATACCTTCCACCTTCATACCTTCCTTTGAATCAGCGATATCCCTACCACTGCAACTTAGATGAAGTTGAGGAAAGTCCTCAGAAACCATCATAATACGCACGTCCACTACTTGCCATGATATGGAGACTCATCTCTGGCAACCCTGCATGCTGCTTCCACTTATACAGCGACAGTGGCCGTCGATCTCGATGAGATTTTGATTCTTGGTCAGGCGCACGTCCGCAACGTATGGATCGAGCCGTTCCTGCACGGAGAGGTCGTGCAAAAATGTTGTCTGCTGGCAGCAAGAAGCCTCCGTACGGTGTTGGACGCCCAACTCCTGCAGGGCCCCAGAGACCTGCGAAGCCAGCCCCGCAGCAAAATCTCTGCAGTAGCAAACTCCTACCTGATCCTACCTGCAAGTGCTGCTGTGAAGAGGACTTTGGAAGCGGTCCAAGCACGGACTGCTCCAAGTGCCTCACTCCTGGCAAGGTATCGGGATCCTGCCCATTGTAGGTACCACGCAGGCCTTGCTGCACGTGAGGGATAAAAGTTGGGCAACGTCACATTCAGCAAACCAGTTCGAAAACGCCGCTGCCACATTCACAAAACGCCCGGTGCGATTTGACGACGCCACGGACAAATTCGGAAAACACCCCGGCAACACTCGGAAAGCACCGCAGCCACATTCGGAAAACCCCCTCAGCCAGGTTCGGAAAACGCCCCTGAAAACGAACAACCACGTCTGTCTTGTTTACTAGAAGCTTCTTCCTTCGTTTCCGGATTCTGCCTGTACGAAAAAAAGACAATTCAATATTACAAAAAGCCTGCATTCGGAAAACGCCGCAGTCAGATTCGGAAAACGCCTCAGCCAGAATCGGAAAACACCTCTCAAGACCTGCGACCACGTCTGTCTCGCCTACTAGACTCTGCTTCCTTCGTTTCCGGATTCTGCCTGTACGAAAAAAAAACCGACAATTCAACAAAATATTAGAAAAAGCCCGCATTCAGAAAACAGCGCAGCCAGCTTCGGACAACGCCGCAGCCAGATTCAGAGAACGCACCGAAAACGCTCGATTACGTCCGTCTCGGCTACTACATCCTTCATCCTCCTTTTTCGGATTCCGCCCGGACGAATCAAGATTTCTAAGGTTTTTGAGCCTTGGAGGCCAACAAACTTACCGAGAAGAGCCTAAACCCTAACAGGCCCTAATCCCTACAAAGCTCTCCAAGCCCCCTAAACCCTAAAAAAACTAAAGCCGAAAAACCTTAAACCCTAAAAACCCTAAACCCTAAACAACAAACCCTGAAAACCCTAAACCCTAAAAACCGTAAACCCTAAAAACCATAACAAAAACCTTAAACCATCTTAAACCCGAAAAAAACCGAACCCTAAAACCCTAAACCCGAAAAACACGAAACCCGAATTCCCTAAAAACCATTGAAAAAATCTTAAACCCTAAAAACCTTAACCATGAAAACCCTAAACCCAAAAAAATTAAACCCTGAAAAACCCTAAACCCTAAACACCCTCAAAACTCTAAGGCCTAAACCCTAAAAACACGAAAACCCTAAACACCCTAAACCCTGAAAACCCTAAACCATCCTAAACCCGAAAAACCCTAAACCCTAAATCATGCTTCTGTGTTTTCGGGGTGACGTATGTCCAGTTTCAATTTCCGACGTCCTGTTTTCTGTCTCTGGCACTGCTGTTTTTGAATCCGATCCAGTAAGTCTATTTTCGGGATGAGGCGGTCTGTTTTTGAATCTGGACGTCCGGTTTTCTGAATGTGGCACTGCTGTTTTTTGAATCTGCCGCTACTGTTTTTGAATTTGGCCGTCCTGTGTTTGAATGCCGCCGTGGTGTTTTTGACTTTTGTTTGCTGAATGTTGCCGCTGTTTTCTGAATGTGGCTTCTCTCGATAAAAGTCTCATATCTATCCATTTCAAGTGCGATACTTCCAAGCCTGCAAGGAAGTCGCTAAGTCCTCGGAGCTCCTGCCGGGCACAGCAGCTCGTGCTGGCGCTTAGAGGCGCGATGATCGTATTTCTACAAAGACACTTCATGACGCCAGCTGTCCCAAATGGCTTTGTAATCTGATTTTGTTGCATGCCCCTGCCACCAGAAGTGTGACTGCTCGAACTCTATGCGGGTGCCGCTCCAGGCTGTGAAGGATGCCAGGTCTTTCCAATCGACATGCAAGTTCAGTGACCTCCCGAACACAAAATCAGCACACAAAATCTCAACCGTGTAGAACTTGAGAGAACTTTCGCGTTGATCAAAGCGCCTGCAACTGTCGCGCAAGGCGCTCATCCAAGGAGTTCAGAGCGGACCCGAACGAAGCATTCACTGCAGTGATGGCAGCCACCAGGGCTCGGTCACGAGTGTCGCACTTGGATTCATCAAAGATCAGCGCCAAGAGGAGCTGTCCAGTGATGGCTTGAGTTGCATAGCCTTGTCATATCTTGTCATCATACACAATGCTTCACAATATGAGCTGTAGTCTAAACTCCTAGTATCCCCCTTAACAACCCCTATAGTAGTACCC